GGAAGGAACAAAAAGGAAAGAAAGAATGCACTGAAAGGCTGTGGGGTAGCTCAGAGAATTTCATGAAGACCGGTGCATACAAGTCATGGGAAATACAGAACTGATAGATGCTCTGGGCTTGTAGGCCTACCTTGGGTCACATACCCACCCACGGCCTGGGAGAGCAGTCCCACTAAAGTTCAGTGGGAGGGATTCTCCTTCAAAGAAAGTTCAGGGTGCTGCTCTAGAAGCAGGGGATAAGGCACCTTTGTCAAGACAAAGAAGAAACTTAGCAGCTGCTGAGATCCTGATCTACTTCTGGCCACTCCCTGCTGGGATGGTGCACCACAGTTGATTTTTTTTAGATCAAAGACTTGTAGAATTCTTATCTAATGCTAGAATTCTGTGCTCTTTAGATTGAATGGATTTGGAGTTATTAGGGATTGAATTTTTATAAGAACATTATATTAACTACATTGACACATGGGAAGAACACTTGATTGTTCATGGGATTTGTAATTTTAGATTCTTTCACTTGACATATTCTAGGTATCCATGTCTTTCTTCACCCATTTCAAGTAAACATTAAGGGAAAAAAAATTATAGGTAATTCTTTTCCTAATGTTTCCTTTTTGCTTTGAAGTAGAACCAAAGCAAGAACCAGCTTTTCTGAAGAAGTTACCTATCCAGAACTTGCTTTGTTTGGCCAAGGAAAATCAAAGGTAAAAAAATCAGAAGCCCAGCAGACTACTTTCCAGTGATTGGTTTGGGGAAGAAAGAGCATTCCTATCCTCATCCTTTTCTGATAATCTGGGGTATCAATGTGGAGTCAATTGCAGACAACAGAAACTACTTAAACTATCTTTTTTTTCCTTTCCTTTCCTTTCCTTTTTTTTTTTTTTTTTTTGAGTTGGAGTCTTACTCTGTAGCCCAGGCTGGAGTACAGTGGCATGATCACAGCTACTGCAGCCTCAACCTGTGGAGCTCGGGAGGTCCTTCTGCCTCAGCCTTCCAAGTAGCTGGGACTACAAGTGTGCAACACCACACCCAGTGAGTTTTTTTATTTTAATGTACAGACAAGGTGTTGCCATGTTGTCCTGGCTGGTCTCGAGTTCCTGGGCTCAGGCAACTCTCTCTCACCTGGCCTTCCAAAGTGCCAGGATTACAGATATGAGCCACCACAACCGGTTTATGCTAGTTGTTGCTTACAAACTCACTAGAAGAATTGGAGGAGTAGACTCAGGGTTGAGTTTTCTGAACAAGAAAGAATTGCAATGCCTCTGTCTTGAGCAATCAAGTGAACAGTAAGTGTCAGAATCAGGAAGCTGCTGACCAAGTCCTTCAGCTGTACACATGTAGGTGGTTTGTGCTGTGCTCATACTCTGACAAAATTGCCATAAGGCATGAATCGAGGAAGATGAGTCAGGAAAAGGGATTGTAAAGAGTGTAGTCACAGAGGCCAAGGAAAGAGCATCTCAAGGAGAAAGGAATGGAAAAGAGGACCTAAGAAATGTCTATCCACCTCCAAAGAGGTTGATGGAAATCTTACAAGAGTCATTCTAGTGAGCTTAACGAAACCGGAATGCAGTGGGTAAAGGAGTGAGTGGGAGGCACAAAAACAAAGACAGTGTGCACCCCTCCTTCCAAAAGCCTGGCTGTGAAAATGGAGAGAGAGGGGGTGGTTGTTAGAGTACGACATTGTGGGGAGAGGGCGACTTTCTCATTTTAGAAGATGGGCGAGACTCGTAGTACATTTTTAAATTCTTGTAGGAGGAATCCTATTGAGAAGATGTAGTCGAGCATACAGGAGAACAATGTGTGATGGATGGAGTATGGCTCCTGAAAAGGTGAAAAGTGAAAGAATCAGAGATGGGAGGAGAGGGTGGGAGTGGAAGGATCATGGATTTGCAATACTTGCAATGGAGAACAGGAGAGAAAGCAATTCAGGCTTTATATCAGGGTTACTGGGTAGCATTGAGTCCTAATACAGAATACCTGTACTTAAGGCTGGTCATGGTGGCTCATGCCTGTGATCCCAGTACTTTGGGAGGCCAAGACAGGAGGATAACTTGAGTCCAAGGGTTTGAGACCAGCTTAAGCAACATAACCAGACCCTATCTCTACAAAATAAAATAAAATTTGCAAAGTGTGGTGGCACAGACCTGTAATCCCAACTACTCAGAAGGCTGAGGCAGGAGAATTTCATGAGTCCAGGAGGTCAAGGCTGTGAAGAGCCGTGCTGGAGCCACTGCACTCCAGCAACAGAGTGAGACACCAACCGCACCCCCACCATCCTGTACTTAAAAATTAAGTATTGCAAATGTCAAATAGGCAGATCCTAAGATGTGGGACTGGCTGAGTTAGGGTAGGATGGGGGCTATGCAAATCCTATCACTGTATGTGACTAGGAGGTTAGCAAACCTTAAGGTTTGTTCTGTTAAGGTACTTCTGATTACAAACAATACATATAACTTAAACTCAATAGTAAAATGAAGAAAATTTGTTGGTTCACATAAGGAAGAGTCCAACAAGCATAGGCTTCAGGCACAGATTGATCAAGGCTTTCTTTGTGAGTTGCCTGTTTGGCCCCATTCTATGTGCTGGCTTTATTCTTGACTTCGCTCGGGGCTATATTGTGACTGCTATCAGCAACCAGGACCAAGGATTCCAGGAAAATAGGAAGAATAGGAGAGGGAGGGGAAAAATACCGGCCTTCCATCACCTCTTCTTCCAATCCAATCTTCCACCATTTCTCCCCTTGGCAGGATCTAACAAAAATTCAGAAGGCAAGGGAACCTAGAATCAGCTCTAATAAAGAGCAAATGGGGAGGAAAGATGGGGAAATGGAAGGCAAACAAGCATAAGTTGGGCAAAGGCCCAAGGGATACTAGACAGCCAAAGTGGAGTGGCTCTCTCGGGGGTGGCCCTGGAACAAGGTAGACAGAGATCCCCCCAGCACACAGGCCCTGAGGAATGCATTCCACTCAATCACAACTTACCAGAGCAGAAACCCCAGAAGCAGAAATCTCTGCAGGCATGTCCTCTGCTACCAGTTTGGAAAGACCTTGTGCTTCCTAGACCATAGGAGGTGCTGGCTGCCATGTTATCCATGGTGCAGTATGCTATTAGAAGTGGTGTGCTGTTCTGAGTGGGAGTTTTCCTCTCGGGGATCCAGTTCTTCTCTGCCCTTGTACAGTGGGTGGTGGGGTGGCTGGATGTCTTATTTAGCCACATCCTGACCCGAATGAGGGGAATTCGCATCACACGGAGATCCTGGGTGCTGGGAACTGGCCACAGTTCTAAGAGAGGACTTTAGGTTGTCTTTGGGAAGCAGGGCAAGAACACTTGCATTACTTACACAAAACAATGGTTGTATTACATCAAGGAAAGCAAATATGAAAAGGAGAGTGTGTGCCAGTCAGTCAGCGGCTGGGCTGTGGTTGCTATTGTTTTGGGTGATTAGCATGGTTTTCCTCCTTCTTTTTTTTTTTGAGTTGGAGTCTCACTCTGTCGCCCAGACTGGAGGGCAGTGGCCGCTCCTGGCCACCGCAGCCTCGACCTGCTGGGCTCCGGCGATCCTTCCGCCTCCGCCTTCCAAGTAGCTGGAACGACAGGTGCGCGCTACCACGCCCGGCTAATTTTTGATTTATTGTAGAGATGAGATCTGGCCAAGTTGCCCAGGCGGGTCTGGAACCCGCGGGCTCAGGCAATCCACTTACCTCGGCCTCCCAAGGCGCGGGATTACAGACTGAGCCACTGAGCCCGGCTGGTTTTCCTCCTTCTATAACCACATGCTCTGGAGCTTTGACAGGGACCTTACACCATAGGACATTTGGCTTGGAAAAGTACTTTACTTCAGTCTCCAGGATCCTTGTCCTCACACACCTCAGGAGTGGACATTACAGTGGTATGCCTGTGTACCGCACAACCAGTGGGGTGCATGGAGTGGACAGTTGTTTTTGTCTGTTCGTCACCCCTGTCTATGGGGGAACTAACCTTCACCCATGTGGTTCTGGAAAAGGTTCAAGTCACAGGTACCCAGAAGAATCCATGTGACCTTAGGCCACTGTTCCTCATAGGAATATTTTCTTGCTTCCTTGAGAGTTTTCTGTTCCTGATGACTAAAAATCCCAACTGAAATAAGAGTCAGTATAATTTAAAGACCACATAACTTACGAACTAGACTTGGTGTACTCTTGTTTGGGTTATTTGGGGCAGAGATGCTATAAATTCACACAGATCATCAAGGTTCTGGAACAAGTTACATTGCACAAAAGCCCATGGATCACATAGGCTTTTTAAAAAATGTTAATATATATTTTTTATTTTAAAATTGTGAGGTACAGTTAAGGGTTAGGTATACAAACGTTCTTTGTGCAGGTACCCTTGTTGATGAGGCGTGTCCCCCTTTCCCCAGACAGATATGGACTACCGTTAATCCCACCTCCCTGCCTCCCCCCAGTTTCCTGCCACTGCCAATCCTTTTCTTACAGTATTACAGTAATTGTTCAAGGTCCACTTATGAATGAGAATATGTGATACTCAGCTCTTTGTTTCTGTGAGAGATCACTCATTATTAAAAACTCTAATTCCATCTAATTACTATGAAATTCATGATTTTGTTCTTTTTTATGGCTGCATAATTTTCCATTGTGTATATGTACCACATTTTTTAAAATCCAGTACTCTTTTGATGGGCACATATGCTCTTGAAAAACAGGGAGGTGTAAGGAAAAGCTTCATCTCCTGGGTTATGCAATTATTTTCTTAGAAGGTATGGTTTCAGAGTGACTCCTGAATTATCTTTTTTCACTTTACCAATATAAAAAGTAACATACTAAGGGTGTTTCTACAGAAAAAACTTATATTCTTCCCTTCTGCCTGCTGATTTTTATGAAAAGAGTAATGTTTTTCTTATGTGTATTAGTGTTATGCCTAATTTATTGTTAAGTTAGGAATAGAACTCTTTATTGAATGATATCTTCTGAACATGCACAGATGTATACAAATACAGTTCTGAACACTGTGCTTACAAATAATTTATTCTTATTTCATACATTTGTTTTCCAGCAGAAAAAAAATGCATAGTTATATTATTTACACAGATTTTCATATTCAAGACTGCAGGGAACAAGTGTCTCCAGAAACCAAAATCATAGCACACTATACAACAGAAATCAGTAACAATTTTGTTCAGCTACATGCACAGAACTGGTCAAAGTGATGTCTATTTCTATAGATTATTTTGTTTAACACGTAATGTGGAATTACGATTAAGTTATGCTTTTCTGTCAGAATACACAGTGGATTTGAAAGCACCTCACAGTTCATGTCTGGAAGTTCACACATCCTCAGACTGCGTCTCTTGCTAGCTAAATACAGTTCTTTAGGACCTAGGTAAGGACTGGATCAGGGTAGCCTAAAATAATTAATTTAGCAAGCAATGGGAAAAAACTCTTCTTCGTACCTGCATTATTTCTTACTCTCTTCTTTCTCCATGATCACCATTCAATGAACTTTAAACAAAAACAAAAACAAAAATGGACACAAGAAGGTCTCTATTTATCAGTGTTAAATCCTGCCTCTGCCTCTGACCTGAGGATAAAAACAAGTATGGCCCTTCAAGTAATGCCCTTTTACTGCAAAAGGGGTCCTGCTGGTTGTACATTCATGCGAATCTGAGGAATATAAATAGTCATCGTATTTAAATCCTTAGTTTAGAAATGAATGACCCTCCTAAGGCAGATGGTTGGAGAAGGCCTAAATACACATAGGCTCCTTTTAGTAACCCTTGTCTTCAAGGCTGGATTTGTGGAAAGTGAAGGCTTCAAGGGTGGAAGAAATGGTCTAGGAGAAAGCTGAAATGAAGAGAGTTCAGAGCTACCACACGCTTTATGCTGATAAAAAAAAACAAAAAACAAAAACAAAAAAGGAGCCACAGAATCCTCCCCCCAGCCCTGAAACACAAAAAGCCTTTTCCTGGTCCATGTAGTGATGGCATGGAGAATTTTTTTTTCCACTCTGAAAAAAAAAACAAGGGTCAGAATGTCCAGGGCTGTACATTTTACTTGCTATGTTATTCACTGAGGTTATAACCTCATTAAAGTGAAATATGCCTCATCTCTTTATTGTTTTGGTACTCAGCTGCTTGGATAATTTTGTTCACAGACTCCAGAAAAGAAAACCAGTCTGCTCACAAAGTAGACTGTCTGAGCCAAGTTCTGCTGGGATAGTGAATTTAATAAAGTTTTTAACCAGAATTTTTAAAAGACCTTTAAATTTAACCATGTGACACACCTAGAACCTATCTAATATGTTTTCTTCTTTTAAAAAAATGATTTGCATTCTTCTTAAAACTATACATTATTTACATTTTTAAAGACCTGCTTAGTCTTTATCATGTGGGTAAGACCTCAAGGTGATTAAACTCCCAGGACAAAGATGAGTCTTTCCAAAAATCACTGGTTCTCATCTATGTGCTAAGGCCTGTTTTTATACACAAACTGCTATTGTAAACTTTACAAATATAAAATTAAAACACTTTGAAATTTGTTCCATGATTTTCTTTTTTGCATCCAGCATATTAAAAACAGATTATGCTTTCTAACTAGAGATGGAACTGAGAGAAGAAATGTTATCCCTTTACTTCATCTAGAAACAAGGGTTTATTTACACGATGTCCTTTCTCAATGTTGTGGTGAACTGGGAGACGACGGGTCATCTTTACAGTTTGGCTGAATAACCACCTGAAGACCCTCCACTCTGCCTTGAGTGCTTATTGCATATTTTGGGTGGAGTTGTAAGGCATGAGAAAGGTGGCCTGTCACTTTTACACATTCGAGAATAATTTTGCACATTCACGAAATTTTCCTTGAGAAATGCTGTGTTTGGAATAGGTTCCAGAGATTGTTAAATTAAAAGCATCAAAGCTCGTGCGTTAGACTTAGAAGCACAATACATTGGGAACATTTTCCAAAGCTCAAAGAAAAGGCTGTTTTTCCATTGAGTTAAATAGTAAACAAGTGAGTATATTGTTGCATACAGGTATGTGTTCAGAGCTTTCCTAAAGTCACATCCTGCCTCAATTCACAGCTAAATGAGCATTTTTGGCCCCTGACCTATAAATAAACACTCTAATTCTGCAACCTGCTCACAGATTCTTAAGAAATTGTTCTAAAACAAAAAAACCTACAAACTGGTTAGAGATATGCAAACCAAAAGTGCAATACATTTATCCTCTTTTAAATGACATCAACAGAAATTTGTATTAGCTTTTTGGAACAGTGACTGAGAAGAACTGACATCCATTTTGACAGTTAAGAAATAATTATTCATAATATTAAAGAAGTCAAAACTTCAATAGGAAGGCATGTGGCCTCTCACAAAGATATACAGTCGTGTTCAGCTTCAACCATTGAATGCTTCCTTTTTCAGTTTGTCTAGGCTTGTTCGCTTTTTGTTAGGAGATATGTCAGAGAACACTGGCAGTCCTTCAAGAAAATGATCCAAAAGGTGATTTACAATTGGCTGGTGCTATTCTCTTATGCCTTTATTGCCTTATGCCCCAATTTTAGGGAAACAAATTAAGGACATTAAGCCAGAGGATAAATGCACTACTCAAATATATACCTGGGCACTAGCGCTCAGGTCAAAAGCTACAGGATGAGGTTAAGCTCACAACCCGAATTTCATGCCTACCTATTGAACACACCTTGAGAGTTCACATGTTTTTCTAGGGACAAAATGTAAAACTCAGGCAAACCGTGCACAGTTAAACATGCTGTCCCATTCAAATGATTCTAATCGCCTTGTTCTCCCTCTCCCAAACCTTCTTCCTATCATTATTACATCTGACACTTTTTTATGATTTCCTTCAGATTTGTTTTTTCGAAAACATGTTTCATAAATTACAACACAAAGATCTTAAAAGAGAAAAAAGCTAGAGAACATTAGTTCATCTTAGTTTGGAGATTTAAGCATTTAAACTCATATTATATATATTTTTTTACTTTATTACACTATATGAAATTCAGACAATTAATGACATCATCACAATTTAGGCACTTTGGATGATCCATACTTCATAATGATATGAATACTATTAACCTTTCATTAGTTGTTATTAGGGTCTTTATTAATAGTGATGATACATTTTTCAATTCTTCACATATGCCTACTATCCCTTCACCTGGATTATACATTAAATTTTCAACTTGTTGAACCATAGGCCTAGGAGTAGAAACAAAGAAAGAACTGATTGCAGGGAACGTTAACATGTTAATTGAATCAAGACCCTGCGCACTGTATAGGATTGTATGCTAGTAGAAAGGACAAAAGACCCAAACTCAGTGGCTTAGGACATATTGCTTATGGTCAAGATCAGAATTTGGTCTCCCGCCAGAGAGACTTTCTGGTGTTTCTAACTCTTGTTCCATAATAAGACAAAAGGATAACTGCTATAATAATTTGGATGGATCCTTGTCCAATGTCTTGTAGACAGTAGATGCTCAGTAATGACTGAAGGGATTATATGAATGAATGAACACCAGCTTAAAGGATGCTGACAGAGTCAAGTCAGCAGTGGCATACTTCAACAGTTAAAGAACAAGATAATAAAAACCATGTAAGTGGCTGATGACATTTTGTAAGCCATGTCTTACTTTGGTCTATTTTAAAATTATAGTCAGTTAAAATTATACTCAAAGAACTATATACATTGCTATGTCTATATCTATATATAACTCCAATTAGTGTCTATGTGCTTGGCAAGGCATCATAGCTGTGCAAACAAGTAAACACAATTGAGCACATAGTTGTCTCGATGACTCTAATGCCAGTTTAAAAACTTTAAAATCTTAACTCTGTCAACTTGGACCAACTATCCAACCTTGAAATAGAGATAACTCCTACCATACCTGTCCCCTACCATAGCTTTGTGCAGATTAACTAATGTACATTATAAAGAGATTTGAAGATAAAAATTGCTGTGTATTATTGCTGTTAGCCCTCAGATTCAGCACCAAATCAGAAAAAAAATTATAAAAATCACCTCTATCCTGAAGTTTTGCATTCATAGAAATGATTTCCACAAAGTAGCATGATGATTTAGGTTAAATGGTTTTTTGACTGCAAGCACTTACAGGCAGGATTTATGAATGGAAACATGTGAAGGCCACTCTGTCTAGCTCTGTAGCCCCATACTTTCTCCCTGGGTTATTTATAGAAAGTGTATGGCCAGAGGAAAGGTTAACATTTATTTTTACAAGCTAGTCATGACATGACTGAAGAATTCACTTCCTCTCCCTGGGAAGGTCAAACTCTTCACCTGAGCCGCAAGAAGGGCAGGGAAGAAAGGAACCACAGCATTAGCCAACTAAGTCGATCTGAGTCAGCCCTGGAGACCAGCCCATGGGGTGACAGGCACTGAAGTTAAGCACCCTCGTTTCCCAGGCATGACTCTATGGCACTGTTCCTTGAGATGTCATCCGGATCATGACTAACAAGTAAAAATGAAACGTATTACATAATATGCTTCAAGATTTTACTGCCAAAATAGGTTGTACTGAGATAATTGAGTGAATTCTTATTTATAATTTGTCTTACATTTCAAACAGCTGAACACAATAAGGTAAGACTGAATTTTAATGAATGTGGCAAAATGGCAAGTGTGACAAATATTTTTAAAGATTGTTATGGTCTGATTGCCACATTACCCCTGAAATATGGAATAAACCTGGATAATCCCATGCAAATGGGGAGAATCTAAGTAAACATTTGCTTCTAGAAGTATCATTTATCTTGACAGAAATCTGATATAATTTAGCAAACAACCTATATAGTTTAATAAAGCATCCTTGGCTTTAGTATATATGGTACCCATTAGCAAACATGAAGTAGAGCCAAACTACTATTTTCACCTAGAATGTCCTCTTGTCAATATTCCATGCGCTATGTAAAATCTAAGATAGAACGAGAAAGGAAGAGTAGAGGAAGGAAAAGGCAAAGGGAACAGGAAATTGAGCCTTCGTTCTCTCTGGAACACACTTACTGGCGCTGAAAGCTTTGAGGGGGAAAAGTGTGTCATCTCACTGCACTCATGCATCATAATTATTTGAAAATGATACGGGTATAATTTTATCCTTAAGTGGCCTCTGCTTAAGGTCAACCCTCTGCTTAAGGGTAAGAAGAAAACTCTGGACCTGCAGGATCTCCAACAAAAATTTAAAATGACACATTTGGGGGTTTAGTTCTTGCTCTCAAACTCATCAGTCCTTTTTAGAAGTCTTCCTCTTGAAAGTTCCTTCTGAAAGGGAGGTCCCATTTTACAAAGAAGCTATATAATACTCTTCAACCTGTTCCTCTAGCTTCCAACCCAACATTCTCTGGGGCTCTAGAGAAGAGACAACAGTGACATGCAAATAAATTTGCATGTGGAAATACCCTGATTTCCACAGCTGTCCTTGAATACAGGTACTGAATTAAGTCACAGATGAGGAATAGCATTTGTGAGAAGCACAAATTGTCAGCCTCTGTAACCTAACAGGACTCTCCTTGCACCTTGCAAAGGAAGAGACACTGATCAGCAAGTGTATAAAGTGTATTTACAATCTCAATGAAAGGGTTCTAAATTAAATACAGATATACATAAATTTAACTTCTGTGTGCAAATTAGCACACACAAGGAAACATATACACAAGGATACCAGTTCCTCCAGGGAATTGTGCTGAGTTTCTGTTTATAAGTACAGAAATGATTAAAAGCATAAACAAAAACAGCAATCTTTCAGGGAATACCAGCCTATCAGTGCTGAGGTAAGTGTTCATCTATGTTATGTGCTTGACCTAAATTATACCATGAAGTCAAGACTCCCCACTCAATGACTTATTGGGCTCTTAACCAAAATGACTTACCAGAAGTGTGATAAGTATTTAAATAAGCCACCTGAGTGGTTTGTGTTCATCGAGAGCGGCCCTCTCAATTACAGGTTAGCATGGATAAGAAATGTCTAAATAACACTGGCTAATCTGGTCTTTAGAAAGGATCTCAGGGGAATATTCATGAATATTTCGGGGATTTAGGATACTGCCAATCATTTCCATGATCTGGACCCAAATGGGACTTCAGTGTTTAACTGGACAAGTGTCATCATATTGAACTCAAAACTTTTCGGTTACAACTCAATAATCTGCTCCTTTCATAATAAAACCACCTCATTTATTCCTGATTTTATTTTTAATTTTAAGCAAAGATGGATGGTATCAGGCCAAAAGTGTCCTTTCCCTTTCCCCCATGGCTGCATTAGGAGCCACGTCCACATTAGCGGGATGGCTCCATCCTCTTGTAGAGAAGCCAAATGCTCTGTGTGCTCCTATAAGCTACTTCAGGTCCTGTCCAAAACTTAAAACCAACCGCATCTTCCTTCATTCCTGGGTGGAATGTTAAGCCTTGATTTGCAGTAAAGTATGAAAAGCTTATTCTTACTGCTCTCCCTGTGTAAGAAACTGTGTTTGAGGGGACCAGTCGTTTGGGCATTGCTTCAAAAGGCACATTTATTCTAGTGGTGATTTAATTAAGCAGAGAAGGAAAGAGTAAGATCAAAAACAAATCAACAACAACAACAACAACAAAAACGCAGGATGGGTTTTGTGGAATACATTAAAGTAAACGAGAATCTGGATCTATACAAACCACTCAAGCTTCTCACCAATAGTTTAACCAGAGTCCCTAAGGTAGACTAATTCACAGTTACAACATGACACAGGCCTTCAGAAAACACTGTTTAAAAAAGTAGTTGAGAACTCTCAAGCAGCTTGCCCTGATGTCCAGTTCAAGTGTATGCAACGAAGAAGGCTGTGAAATTCAAAACTATGTGACAAAGAAAATTCAGTGCATATAACAGGCTTTGATAAATTATGAAAACTCATCGTATATATTACTATTTAAATAACATCTGATAGACATTTTGAAATAATTAACTTGTGTTCATATTCCATGCATTTTCTAGCAGGTTAACCCTGGGTTTGTGTCTTTGAGACTGTTTCCTACAAAGCTCCATTCTTTTGACAAATTCAGGCATTCCTTAGACAGAAATGGAGGTACTCGGGGTTTTTGTCTATTTACCCTCTTAAGTGTGTACCTGACCTCAAAAGGACTACTCCTTATTACCACTGGCACAGATGACTGGAAAGGCAAACTCTTTGGGGTTGTATTTGGGGTTGTATCCATTGCCTTTGAAAAATCCCTGGATGTCAAGACACCACCTGAATTTTCTCCAGGGGCAAGAACAAGTGACCACTTCCCTCCTGCGTGACCCCTCACTTCTTCCTCTTCCAAAGCCCCAAGTGGGCGGGATCCCTCTGAAGCACTGGACTTTTCCCCTATGGTTTTGCAGCACCCTCCTCGAGCAAACAAGGAAACACAACACAACTTGAAAACAAACCAACAACAGAAACGCCAAACAAACATGTGGGCAAACCAGTCGCCTCCTCCACGGCAGAGGCTCACTTTTTACTGCAGAATTCGGAGTTGTTCAGAAACCTTCGGATGACCAGTCCCAGGCAGACCACCAGCAGCAGCATGTAGCCCACGGTGCCCGAGAAGGTGGGGGCAGCGGGCGGCGCCTGGAGGAACTGGCGCAGGCCCTCCTCCACGTAGTACACCTGGTCGTAGATGCTGAGGAAGGTGAAGATGTGGAAGAGCTGGTGGCTGTGGCCGATGATGTCGAAGAGGCCCGGCTGGATGCGCTCGGGGATCTTGCTCACGTTGAAAAAGGCGGCCACCACCAGCCAAAAGTAGCGGCGGTAGAAGTGCACGAAGAGCGTGGGGTTCTCGCCGCGCAGGTCGAAGAGCCAGCTCTCGAGCATGATGGGGCAGGCCATGCTGAGCGGCATGACGAAGACGAAGGTGCGCAGCGCGAACGGGTAGGCGCACCAGTCGGTGCGGCTCTTGCAGCAGGCCACGGTGCAGGCCACGGCCAGCACGAAGGCCACGGGCAGCACCAGCGCGCGGTAGGCGGCGATAAGGTGCGTGCAGTCCACGTGCCAGCCCAGGCGCTGCTGCACGTACGGGGTCATCACCCGGGCGTCCAGCAGGCTGAGGCCCGGCAGCAGGTAGTAGTAGTAGGCCACGGTGCTGCCGAAGCCGTAGTAGCTGATGGACGCGTAGTCCAGGTAGAAGAAGGCGGCGCGCAGGCGCAGAGACAGGCAGCTGAACACGTGCGCCGTGCAGCTCATGGCGAAGGTCAGCAGCACGCCCGACGCGTAGCACCACAGCGGCAGCAGCCACGGGTGGTGGAAGGGCACGTCGCCGCCGCTCAGGAAGAACAGGCGGCAGAACTTGCTCAGGAACAGCAGCAGCGGGATGAAGTGCGTCCAGAAGTTGAGCGTCTCGTTGGTAGGCTTCAGCACCGAGGCAAGGCACTCCTGGGCGGTGCACGGCAGACGCCGGTAGCCCGACAGGATGAAGCACTCCACGAAGTCGTCGGGCACCTCGTCCCAGCGCAGCAGCGGCTTGGCCGCCGCCGCCGCCGGGCCGTCCCCGGAGGCGGCCGGGTGGGAGTGCCGGGAGGCCC